TGATGACATCGTAGACGTTTACAGGGCTGTGATACAGACATTCCAGAATTTGGTCGACAGAGTGAACGCTTTAGCGGGGGATGGGGATATAATACAGATGGAACTGCAGGGGGTGGCAGTAACCAATAACACAGCTATACATGTTCGAGGCGAGATCGATCTAAATGATCTGCTATCGATGGTAGACAACCTTTCACAGAGCAATGCCGAGGTTTTCAGCGATGATACGCTGGAATTGGTCGTACAAATTATTCATAATCGAAATGGTGGTGCAGCCGAACGACAGAAATTAACAAAGCTTTTAAAGTCTGACATTCTGCAAAAGAAGCTCAGATGGCTTATCGTTTCTGAAAACTCTTGCAATAATCTATGCTTTGCTTACTGCGTAACCCGTCATGTAATGTATTTTTATTCTATTAAAGTTTAACACCCCCAAACCATACGGCCCCCTATTGGCAACACGTGGCATAAGCATGTATGATACCATTTGGCCAAACCCCCGACCAATCAGAACAAAGGATACGCCCACATTCCTCTTATGACGTCATAGATGGGGGAGAGCTTTAAGTTGCGCCCAAACTGCCACTTAACCTTTTTTTTCATGCATGTGTGAACTCTACACCTCTGCATACAACTTTTTGTGTAGTATTTACAATGGAAAAAAATTGGTTTATGGAGCTTATTTCTAATCATTCTTCAAACGTAGTTTTTACTGCTAGCCTCTTGATACTGGAGTGGTTACTGGAAGCAGACTTTGTGTGTCCGTGCTCTTTTGGATGGAATGTAGTATTTACTACTGCGTTCTTTTGCATTCCAGCTTTTTTATTATTATTTCTCTTGGCAAAAAAGGAGGCATGCCACTGTTGTTGTATAATGAAAATTCTTTTTCCACCATTTGCATGGGTGACTGTGCTGCTATATGATGGAAAATATGTGGCATGTGGGTTCACTCACTAGGAAGGAATATATATGCCCCTAGACAGGGGTACTTCTCAGAAGTGGTGCAGACCCCTTAATGACACACAAGAAATTAAAGATAAGATGGTTTTGTCTCAAAGATATTACTTATATTCTCAGGTAAGAAATGCACTTAAATGTTGTTACCTTGTAGGAAATGCCTGCTATTCTTTACACGTAAAAACTATTCTCTGGTATGATTAAGAGTCTTTCTAGTATGCCATGCTACTGTCAACCAATAATTTCTTGGTGTATTTTATTCTTTTTTGTGACTCAGGCTGCAGCTTTGGCCTGTATTACTGTGATTATGCTGGGAGCATTCGTGTGGAAGGTACGAGAGTGCTGCAGAGAACACAACACCCCCTCCAACAGCACTGAAATGAATCCTCTCACAGATGAACAAAAAGTGGAAGAAACTATTGTTAAAATTATAGACTCATTGAAGAAGAAGTACAGTGAACAAACCAATCATCCTTCTGGGTCGCAGGGTGCCGACTCCAATTAGCCTCAGCATGTCTTTGGACTGTGGGGAGAAACCGGAGTGCCGGGAGGAAACCCCACGAAGACATGGGGAGAACATGCAAACTCCACACACATGTAACCCAGGCAGAGACTCAAACGTGGGGCCCAGAGGTGTGAGGCAACAGTGCTAACCACTGCACCACCATGCTGCCCTCAGTCAATGAACTAGCACCAGCCAATTATAATGAACCAACATTTTTTTATAAACTCAGAAACAGGTTATCATTGCTTGTACTCTTATTTGTTTTCCAGTTGCTGTGTACTATGCATGAATATGGCATTCTGATAAATAAATGCAGGGTGTTTGTATATATGTAAAATCTGAATAAACATACAGTATATGTGTATATATACACTGTGTATACATGTTTAGATTTTTGTAATGCAAAATTATTGATGTTATCCATTAGTATGTACATAGCATTAAACCTACCTTTTAAGCATCGCATTTATGTTTTCATTAATGTTTAACGTATGGAAGTAAATTAATGAAAAAAGTAATTGATGCAAAGATGCTTGTTGAATTACATTAATGGAGTAAAACGCATTGCATTTAATAATGCTTGAATATTTGGGGGTTGTAATTTTATATGAATGTAAATTTAAGCATGGAATAATTCAGCTGAAAATATTTCAGTTGTAATTTCATTGGTAAAATAATCAATGCAAAAATATTCGCCTTCCACAATTGAGTTCCAAAATATACAGTTCATTTTTGTAATTCAATCATCTGAATTATAAACTTTTGCCTGAAAATAAATTTTGGAATTCAGTTGGAAACATTCAATGTGTTTTAATGGCATCTTCATAATTCAAGAGGTAATATTCAGTCCTTTTATTTTCGCTTTATATGTGGATTATGTGGATTATTATTAGGATTAAATGTTCCCCACAATGTAATAATAACCTGTTATTTTGACATTATGAGGACCATTTTTAGGTCCCCACAAAGATCTGTGAATGCAATCAATAAACTAAAAATGCCCAAAATCTCATATTTTGTTTGGTTACTTATGGTTAAGGTTAGTGCTGGATAGGGGTTAATGTTGTTTTGTTGAGATTAGAGTTTTTCTAAGTTACTTGTGCTCTCTCATATAAAGTGTTACCATTAGGGGTGCACCGATTGCAGTTTTCTGGCCGATCAACGATCACCGATCCTTAGGCAACCTTAC